AGGATCAAAAGGGGCTGCCCATATCTTCTGTACCACAGCCTTTCACTCATGCTAGTGCTCTTAGGAGCTCAATCATGGAAGCCTTTTCTGTTTTGTTGCGTGTCTTTCCTGCTGTGTCAAGACCCATTAGTGGCAGGCAGAAGGCAACAAAAGGACACTGAATCGTGCATTTTGCATGGATACTCAGAACATTCATTGGGCCAAGAACATTTTCATGGAAAGGAATGCGCTCGTGCACTACTAGTACTGCCCTCATGGCGTCAAAGAATCAGGGGCTTGCACCAGCATTGCACATGCCACATATGTGAAATTGTAGCTGAGCAAGTCGTGATGCATGGGACGCCGGAAGGAGCGATCCCCGATTCGCGCGGAAGCTGCAGAAGCAAAGTATTGGAACAGCCAATGCGGGCAGGACAGAGTCAATTTGGATTGCCGGAATTGCGTTCGCAGATCCAAAGATACCAACGCAATAATTGATAAGTTTTTGCCGGGATTTCACAGAAGAAGAGGTCAAAGCAATCGACAGATCTTACATCGGCCCTGTGCGTGATGCTTGAAAAAAATCAATCTGGGTTTTGGCTACTCGTGTGCCCCTGTTCAATGCATTTGGTCTGCGGAGCAAAGATCAAGAGGGGAGAGAGTCCATTCCTCCTTTCTGCTGCCATATCCATGATGAGGCGTTGATGCGCATGCGGTCTTTCACTCCCTTGAATGTGGACGACAGGCTTGTGCAGGGTCGGTCCCACAAATACAAAGCCCATGTCGTCACAGCGGCAGACATATTTTCTCCAAGAGTTCTTTCGGGAATTGAGACCGCTTGCGTGCAAGATGCGGGATGCTTGTTGTCAATCTCTCACTGACATTGTCACCGAGATTTACAAGAGCAATGCTGGCGCAAGCTGAGAAATGGGAACAACTTCTTACATCATATTCGGTTTCCGCAGGCCTTGCTGCAGCAAAGAGGCTGTGGGCTTCTTTAGGGTGTTTGATATGAGATATTCTTTTGTTTTGGGTGTGCAGCAGCCATCAGGCAAATCTTGTTGCGCAGACAGCGATCCAAGGCAGAGGCCACAACGATGAGAATGAACAGATCACGGAATTGTAGCCGGTTGTTTCGGCGTTTGATCGCCGGTTGCACGGAGGAGTTTGCGCAGTCCTCGTTTTGCTTCTTGGACTGGGAAATGATGGTATTACCTGGTTTGGGCAACGAGGGCCGGTCGGCAGGGCGCAAGTTGTCTTGCGACCTGCAGCTGCTGTGTGGAGAAGATGCTTTGAAGAGCGCGTTCATGTACAGGCTGCTGGTGATATACGGGATAGGGCTGCCATAGCTATATAGTTGCTTGATGTTGCTTAGGCTTGTCGCGAGCTGAACAAGTGGCTTGTTTGCTGCGAAGAGAAGCCGGTCATAACCAGGTTCTGGTTATTTGGAAGTTGGATTGCAAACTTTGGTTGATGCAGGTCTTGGGCTTGCCGAGCACAGTATTTCCAACCACGATAACGCGGCCAAGAGAAGGGGATCTGAAGAGACTACGTGTTTTCAATAGCCCAGCTTTACAATAGCCCAGAATCCCAGCGGAGCCTTCGACGGGCCGTGCTTAGTTAGCCAACTATGCTGTGAATATTTTTGCCCAAAAGCGCAAATCCACAGAAAAGCCCCTGTGGTTTGACTTGGACAAGGAGAAGCGCAAGACAAGACTGAAAGATTGTTCCAGACTTTGGTGCGCCGGCTTGATTTAGATTCTCACCTGGATGTTTCGGACGCTTTTCAGGGGTTGCTGTTGACGCAGAGCCACATTTTGATTCGCTACTAGAAGTATCTGGAATACTGTAGCGGGGGCTTTCAATCCGACAGGCTAACCTTCAGCCACTGAAGACTTGTTGAACCTACCAGAAGAAAATCTTGAGGTCGGCTGCAGCTGGCCGCTTCAGCAAGTAGCTCCAGCAAATGGTGGGGTCTAAAGGCCAAAGTCCAGCGTGCGCCCTGCTGCGGCAGTTCCACGAGCAAGTCGGCAAGGAAAGGGCGGCCAAGGCGGCAAGGATGGCAAGGAGTACACTGAAAGCCCAGGGTGGCGCTGAGAGCAAGGGTGACAGGGGCCAGAGATGCTTGCGGAGCCGCCTGAATTTGTTTGTGGGCGAGGCGGTCAAAACCATCTCAGCCATTCACAAAGAGCGCTTGCGTGACAAGAAAGCTATGGTCGTGCAAGTCTTGCGCAAAGTGTCGCGTTGAGTTTCTCGAAGGCGAAGCTCGAGGAGAAACCAAAGATTTTCTCACAGCGAGGTTGACCACAATTCCTTTAAAAAATGCTAAGCGCTGGCCTGCCGATGCCCTGGAAGGTGCTGAAAGCGCCAAGCGTGTGCGGGCGAAAGCCTGGTTTGGTGCAGATGCGGACATCTAGGACGACTGTGCAGCTATATGGTCAGCGTGTTGCCGCTAACAGCCGCTATGTCAAGACGTTCCAGACCTACAAAAGGGTTCCAACATTGGAAACCTAAGTGTTCCAACATTATATCCTGTTACTTCTGGTATTTCTCATTGTTTCCACCACCCACTGGTTCACTCACCCAGTCACGCACCTACCCATTCACACACTCCTTCACATCTACCCCCATCATTCCCGGCTTCTCAATCTTCTTCTTTCCGCTCCTGCCGTCCGCTGACCAAAAAACCAAACATTTCATCCGTGTGGCTTTCCGGTCCTTAATTTTGCAGTTTCTTTGAGGGTCGCCCGCAGTACTTGCGACGCAAAAAGAATCTGAAGCTGGCAGTCAAGTATTGAGTGTGGACTGTATGTGTGCATGTGGGCTGAGGTCATGTGACCGCGGGCAGCCTGGATGCATTGGATGTTCTCGGGGTTTGTTCAAGTATAGATGTGTGAATTTGTGACTGAAGCAGTATCATTGATGATGCATTAGTCATGTGTATTCTTGGTGTTGTTTCATCGCACACTATTTTCATGGACATGTAGCGACAGGTGTCAAAAGTAGTATGGTTGAAATCCGGGTCAGGGCTGCAGGGTTTCTGCTCACTGAGAGCGCGATGCGAATTGGTTTTACAGCACCTGCGGGTTTCACTGTCTCACCTGGTTCGAGCGGAGCAGGTTAGACCCTCGCTGCAGGTCTTCCTATATAAATCGAAGCATTCTGAGTAGGTTTGAAATGGTTTGACCGATTCTTTTGCCCTCTTCAGGGCTGCGATTGGGGTTGGATTTGCTTCAGCTCCCCAGTAATTTGTCCTTTAGACCACTGCGGATGTGTCACAGGCCAGCATGTGGGAGTTTTTCAGTCTCCCACCCTGAGGAATGGTTTGGAAGTCACATCAGGTGACCTGGCTCTTCAGTCGGAAGACCAGAATGTGGCTAGGCTATGCTAGGCTTGTGGAACTCAACAAAAATCACCTGTTCCGAAACCTAACCCACACATTCTTTAGCTTCTATATGTCTCTCATTGGATTCCTCCCGGCTGTTAACAGCAGAGTTGCTGGCGACAAGTGAGTTGTGTCAATACCGGGCCGTTTTGCCCGGTCGTTTTAGCCCAGAACTCGGGTGAAGCCGCTGATGCCATTTCGGGCCGGTTGTGCTGGTTCAGACAGGCCCAATTTTTCCGCCCTTCGAGGCAGCGGGCGTCTGAGTCGAAAGTTCTGAGGCCTTTGTGGAACGCTCTGCCCAAGGGCAAAGCACAGCTGGAGATATGGTGATAGCTCACCAAAACTTCTGGGCGCAGAAGTCGTCCTAAAAGTGCGCTAGATTACGATATTTTTGCGCGAAGATTTGGTGTAACTTCTTTTACAAGTAACGACAGTTGGTGTGTAAATGCTGAAGGACTCCGATGATCAACGCTACTTTATAGAGGCTTAATGATGCATGATGATCAACGCTGTATTTTGCATTGGCCAGTGAACCCACCCAGATGCTCGCGGCTCGCAGAGAACGCGTTTCAGTTCCCTCCTGGGTTTGAGGCCATGGATGAAGGGTGCCACAGCTTTCATCCAATCAGATATGTTTCTTGATGCTAAACTTTGCAGCCCTTCTGCTTCTGGAGTGCTACTTCTGCTGCATCATAATAAACACATACCCATACACACCACTCCTACAGGGTGCTCAGCTCATGCAGGCGATGCACTCAAAGGCAAAACACCAGAACTTCCAGGTGCACAAGGGTTCGCACATGATCGGGCCACCGCTACTAGGGTGGAGGCCATCGCTATTAGGTTGGAGGCCATTGCTATTAATAACTCAAAAGACGATTGATGACGGTTGTTTTTCGGGCCTTCCTGTATTCGAGGATGTCGACTCATCTCGGCCTTGTGATTGCTTTGTTTGTCCTTCCTGTCAGGCCAGAAAGTACGAACGCCCTGGCCTGAAGCAGGATGAGTTGACGACTTAGATTCTACATTGTTCTATGATATTCCTTTTCTACAAGACTATATATAGCTCCGTTCTTTGCGTTCCTTTTTGCCCTCAAACTGCATGGTGGGCAAATCTAGTGCTGGACCGTGGAACATCTCGAGGTGGACAGGCTAATGGCATCCGATGGGTTTCTTCGCAGAAAAGCTGAGGGAGGGTGTAAAGTAACACACTTTTAATCATGGGGGCCAAACAACATGCAGCCTAGGAACTCGTAGGAAGTGTTGAAGTGCCTTCCAGTCTTTTGGTTTAAACTCAGGATCGAGGAGATCAAAGAGGCTTGAGTATGCCCCCTGCGAAGTGAGTTGGAGAAGTCAGCATCAATTTGTGAAACAGCCAGTCAAGTACTCTCAATTCTTTGCCTTTTTGTGTCACACTTTGCCTGCTTTCGCAACTTTTTCAAGACATCTTCGATGCAATGGCAATAGACGAGTTCATTGCAGGATATTGTTAAACGAGAAGGCCTGCACTCTCCTTTCGTGGCATTTGGCCGCCGGCAATGATAAGGAATCAGCAAATCTTGGAATTAGACTACACGTCGTCACATCATGAAGGTCAACATGGACTATTCGAGCATAGAAAAGCGATGAAAAGCGCTTCTAGCTTCTGACCTTGTCTTCAGCCCTACGCCACGCAATGGCGCGGCGGTGGCTGTTCTGGGTCTTTTTCCTGCTGTGGGGTTCTTGGATGGCCCTAGAGGGCAGCTGAACACAAGCCACTTGAGGAACGTCATTCATTTCTAGATGGCGCATCTCTTAGTCGATTAAGCTCGGAAAGAACAGGGGGAACAAGTTTGGTCATTTCTCTGGTGTTGCGGGCTATTCTGAGAGCAAGTGACGCGGATCCTGCAGCTCGTCATTGCTTCATATTGCTTCCCATCCACCCTCGATGGTTGCAACCTGCTTGAGTCACCATGAGCACATGCCGTTACATGTGATGGAGGAAGGTTTGCATATTCTTCATCCTACAGTAGCTTAAAGTATATTAAAGTGATTTGGTGATTTGGTGCATAACTTGAAACATCGCTTGTTTTCAAAGTCGTGAAAGAAGTTCCTCAAGTTCTGCCTTGTGCATGGCCTGCTCAGTGGAACTCTGTCAGTTGGTGGGATCCAACTGCTGCTCGACCTTCGCCAAAGTACTTTAGCAGTGGTGACAAGGTGGGGGGCTCGATGAGTCTCGATTCTCTTTGCATCTCTTTCTACAGTATCTCTAGTCACTCTGACCAGTCACTTTCGCCTTCGTTGGCTTCAGCACCATGACTGCAATTGTCTCAGGCCAAGTATGCAGCGTGCGCCTTTGATGTGATGGCCTCATTCGTAACACAAAAGAAGACTCATGGTAGAAGAGCAGCATACTGTAATGCAGCATTCAAAGCAATCAAGACGTGGAAGAAATCAATGCTATTTCTATCATTTTCTATCCATTTCTTGTGCCATGAAAGTTTGTTTGTGCCGGTGCCCCAGCGAGTGGCCGGCGTTTACTGCACTTCTGGCCCCGAGATTGGAGTCCTTTGCAAGTAGTACCATGAGACCAGCGTACTCTTCTAGTGGTACCTTCCATTCACCTTGCTCCTCGCCTGACCCTCGATTCTTCTCCCTTTCCACATGCATACTATTGACTCCAAACTACTGCTTGTGGGTGCCATGGGTCGCCAATTGACACAAACTCTGAGGTTTGGGGCGCTGTGGACAGTCTAGGCTTGGCAGTCCAAGCAGAGCTTGGGCACGTGAAGCTGAAGAAATCCACTTGAAAGCAATGCTGTCTATCCAGACGTACTACTAGGAGCAAGGACGCTACTAGGGGCTCCTGGCCTTACTAGTAG